TGCTTTTGAGACAGGGAATGGTCTCAATTAACCACAGAACATTTTGAATCATTTTTGGCTTGTATCTCTAAACTGAAGCAGATTGTAAGCATTCTCCTTCATCTTATTTACTGTTAATTTCAGAGTAAACCACTCACTCTGAACGCATTTTTCCTCATCACTTAAAATTCACCCAAAGTGGCTAATGAGCTGTGAAATTTTATCATTTCCAAGTGCTGCATAACTCTGTATTTATCATGGGCCAAAGAGTAAAGTCAAAGACACTGACATTTATTTCCTCCTGAAATGCTTGAAATATTTTTCAGCGTAACTAATGGCATCATCGGATAGTTTTTTTTTTTTCCAATTCAGTTTCTTCATCCCCCAGACAAATTCATCTCTCTCTCCCCCACCTCCAAAGTGCTTTTAGGTTGGGATCAGGTTGGTGACAGTGACCTTCTAAACATATACATATACAACATACCTCTGCTATATGGCATCCACTGATATCCTTGTCATTATGTCTAGTACATCAAAGCCAGTAATGCAAAGTTTTCATAAAAATTGAGATTCCCCCCCTTCATTTATAGATTCCCCCCCCCCCACTTACCCATAAATCATAGGACATTAATTATCGGGAAGAGTACAATAACAATTCATCAAAGTATTTAATAATTTCCCATCATCAAATTTCATCATTGGAAAAAAAGGCACGCCAAACTTCCACCGGCATTGCCCTTAAAGAATACTCATTCCTTTTCAGTGAATTCACTATTTTTCTTTCCTCTCTACAGAATCATTTAAAGGGAAAGACAGAACAATGGAACAGAACAGAAGTTTATGAGCCAGTATCTTAATTGACAAAGAAAGGAGCTAAGAAGAAACTGTGATTTTTCTGGCAGGGACAGGGAAAACCCTGAAAGGGTTTAGCACTTTGTCAAAGCCCTTATATATATTTTCTTTTTATCTGTTTTGGGAAGTGAAAGAGAATTTTCACATGCCCAGTTGGTTTGGTTTTAGGTTTTTTTTTTTTTTTTGGGGGGGGGGGGGGGGAGAGGAGGGATTATCTGTGGACTTGAATTTTTTACATAACTCAGGTATATTGGACAATAAAGATTTTGAACAATGAATCACACATACCAAAACCATAAATCTCACTAATATTTGTGAATGTGATCATTGGTAAGCTGTCTCTGAGATACTATCATGAGATCATTAACTCATTTTAAATACGCCTCCAGTCAATATCAGTCAGATGATAATGAGTGTTAGACATTAGTGATGTGATCAGGATTTGAACTAGTGTCCTAGAAGTAATAGCCTCTCAGTGCCTTCCTGCCTATTCCCATTATGAGATTGTCTTCAATGGTATTACATAGAGGCTTGATTTGGCCCATTATTGTACTGTATGCTTTCAGCTGAAACACTAATAACTCCACCTAAAATATATATGTATGTACAGTTTATGAAAAAACACATTGCAATGATTTTCTGGAAAAGACTAGCAGTTGATATTGAATCAGTGAATTGCACAGAGGAAATGAAGTTTCTCTTTAGGGAAAAAAAAATCATATCAGCCAGATGGGACAGGAGGAAGAGCTCAGCTTGAGCTGAGAGAGCACTTGTAAAGCAGTATTGATTCACAGAAAAAGGTTTTCTCTAGATGATATGGGTAATAAACCTAAATAGTGATTTATTCAGTTAGGACATTGCTCTTGAGTATCGAAACTGTGACTGTACCTCATGTCTTTAGTAGACCTGGCAAACACATTCACAAGTTACAGCCTCTCCCCAAAGAAAACTAAATGGATTATAATATAAAAGACGGGATTTCTGATGTGCATAGTTTTTTGGTCATTTTCTCTTGAAGTTATGGGTAATAAACCAAAAGAATGATTTATACAGTACATTGAAACTGCTGCTGCCTGAAATTTTCATTCGCTGTAGATAGAGAAAGGTTAGAGTGGTGTTCTGAACGGATTGCTGCTGACTCCCAGTGCTAATGGTAATGCTTAGGAAGAAAACCACTGCACTTTTTCAACACATTTATAGCCCTCTTCCAAGAGAAATTACTCCCTGGGTAAGCTCAGTTAACACATGCATGGGGAATCTAGTTTTCTTTTACTAATTTTCTGTGTTTGTTTTGGCTACTTTTATGCATTATAACTTCCTAGAGTACTCAGTTTTGTTATTAGTTTTCACTGATAGCTGTAATCCTTACACATCCTGAAGGTGAATGATTCCCCCACTGGATTGATAGGAAAATGTCATTCTTTAACATTGTGGTTGGTTTTTGCTTTGTAATAAGACACTGTGCTATAGTAGAGGGGTTAAGTGGCACAAATAAATTCCACTGGTTCAGCTTTAATCAGCTTTAAAATTGTACACTAAGGGTATGTCTACACTACAAAATTAGGTCGAATTTATAGAAGTTTGTTTTTTAGACATTGTTTTTATATAGTCGATTGTGCATGTCCCCACACAAAATGCTCTAAGTGCATTAAGTGCATTAACTCGGCGGAGTGCTTCCACAGTACCAAGGCTAGTGTCGACTTCTGGAGTGTTGCACTGTGGGTAGCTATCCCACAGTTCCTACAGTCTCCGCTGCCCTTTGGAATTCTGGGTTGAGATCCCAATGCCTGATGGGGCAAAAAACATTATTGCGGGTGGTTCTGGGTTCATGTCGTCAGGCCCTCCCTCCCTCCGTGAAAGCAAGGGCAGACAATCGTTTTGCACCCTTTTTCCTGAGTTACCTGTGCAGATGCCATGCCACGGCAAGCGTGGAGCCCGCTCAGCTCACTGTCACCGTATGTCTCCTGGGTGCTGGCAGACATGGTACTGCATTGCTACACAGCAGCAGCAACCCATTGCCTTGTGGCAGTAGATGGTGCAATAGCCCTGAAAACCATCGTCATCATGTCTGAGGTGCTCCTGGCTGCCTTGGTAAGGTCGGTCAGGAGCGCCTGGGCAGACATGGGCACAGGGACTAAATTAGGAGTGACTTGACCAGGTCATTCTCTTTAGAAGGCAGGCAGTCCTATTGTACCATCCTATAGTGAGCAGGCAGGAGATGAGGATGGCTAGCAGTCCTATTGTACCATCTTCTGCCAAGCAGCCAGGAGATGTGGATGGCTTGCAGTCCTACTGCACCGTCTGCTGCCAGGCAAAGATGTACAAGATAGATGGAGTGGATCAAAACAAGAAATAGACCAGATTTGTTTTGTATTCATTTGCTCCCCGCTCCCTCCCTCGGTGAAATCAATGGCCGACAATCATTTTGATGAGGTCTGTCAGGGGCATCTTGAAAACTTTAATGGAGATTCAGTCCTGCCTGAAATAACAGAGGGAGGGATAACTTAGTGGGTTGAGCATTGGCCTGCTAAGCCCAGGGTTTTGAGTTCAGTCCTTGAGGGGGCCATTCTGTGTGACAGTTGTTTTTGTTTCTCCTTGATTTCAGTCCACCCCCTTTGTTGATTTTAATTCCCTGTAAGCCAACCCTGTAAGCCATGTCGTCAGTCGCCCCTCCCTCCATCAGAGCAACGGCAGACAATCGTTCCGCGCCTTTTTTCTGTGCAGACATCATACTACGGCAAACATGGAGCCTGCTCAGATCACTTTGGCAATTAGGAGCACATTAAACACCACAAGCATTATCCAGCAGTATATGCAGCACCAGAACCTGGCAAAGCGAAACCAGGCGAGTAGGCGACATCAATGCGGTGACGAGAGTGATGAGGACATGGACACAGACTTCTCTCAAAGCACGGGCCCTGGCAATGTGGGCATCATGGTGCTAATGGGGCACGTTCATGCGGTGGAATGCCGATTCTGGGCCAGGGAAACAAGCACAGACTGGTGGGACCTCATAGCGTTGCAGGTCTGGGATGAATACCAGTGGCTGCGAAACTTTTGCATGCATAAGGGCACTTTCATGGAACTTTGTGTCTTGCTTTCCCCTGCCCTGAAACGCATGAATACCAAGATGAGAGCAGCCCTCACAGTTGAGAAGCGAGTGGCAATAGCCCTGTGGAAGCTTGCAACGCCAGACAGCTACCGGTCAGTTAGGAATCAATTTGGAGTGGGCAAATCTACTGTGGGGGCTGCTGTGATGCAAGTAGCCAACGCAATCAAAGATCTGCTGATATCAAGGGTAGTGACCCTGGGAAATGTGCAGGTCATAGTGGATGGCTTTGCTGCAGTGGGATTCCCTAACTGTGGTGGGGCCATAGACGGAACCCATATCCCTATCTTGGCACCGGAGCACCAAGCCGCAGAGTATATAAACCGCAAAGGGTATTTTTCAATAGTGCTGCAAGCTCTGGTGGATCACAAGGGACATTTCACCAACATCAACATGGGATGTCCGGGAAAGGTACATGACGGTCGCATCTTCAGGAACTCTGGTCTGTTTCAAAAGCTGCAGGAAGGGACTTTATTTCCAGAACAGAAAATAACTGTTGGGGATGTTGAAACGCCTATAGTTATCCTTGGGGACCCAGCCTACCCCTTAATGCCATGGTCATGAAGCCATACACAGGCAGCCTGGACAGTAGTCAGGAGCTGTTCAACTACAGGCTGAGCAAGTCCAGAATGGTGGTAGAATGTGCATTTGGATGTTTAAAAGCGCATTGGCGCAGTTTAGTGACTCAGTTAGACCTCAGCAAAACCAATATTCTCACTGTTATTACTGCTTGCTGTGCACTCCACAATATCCGTGAGAGTAAGGGGGAGATGTTTATTGCAGGGTGGGAGGTTGAGGAAATTCGTCTGGCCGCTGGTTACGCACAGCCAGACACCAGGTTGGTTAGAAGAGTACAGGAGGGCGCGGTGCGCATCAGAGAAGCTTTGAAAACCATTTTCATGACTGGCCAGGCTACGGTGTGAAAGTTCTGTTTGTTTCTCCTGGATGAAACCCCCCGCCTCTTGGTTCACTCTACGTCCCTGTAAGCTAACCACCCTCCCCTCGTCCCTTTGATCACCGCTTGCAGAGGCAATAAAGTCATTGTTGCTTCACATTCATGCATTCTTTATTCATTCATCACACAAATCGGCAGATAACTAACAAGGTAGCCCGGGAGGGGTCTTGGAGGAGAGAAGCACCAGGAGGGGTGGTGGAGGAGGGAAGGACTAGGCCACACAGCACTTTAAAAGTTTAATACTTTAAAACTTATTGAATGCCAGCCTTCTGTTGCTTGGACAATCCTCTGGGGTGGAGTGGCTGGGTGGCCGGAGGCCCCCCCCCACCGCGTTCTTGGGCATCTGGGTGAGGAGGCTATAGAGCTTGGGGAGGAGGGCCATTGGTTACACAGGGGCTGTAGCAACGGTCTGTGCTCCACCTGCCTTTCTTGCAGCTCAACCATATGCTGGAGCATATTAGTTTGATCCTCCAGTAGCCTCAGCATTGAATCCTGCCTCCTCTCATCACACTGCCTCCACCTTTCAGCTTTAGCCCTCTCTTCAGCTTGCTACTTACTCTCTTCAGTCCGCGACCTCTCCTCCCAGTCATTTTGTGCTTTCCTGCACTCTGACATTGTCTGCCTCCATGCATTTGTCTGTGCTCTGTCAGTGTGGGAGGACACCATGAGCTCAGAGAACATTTCATCGCATGTGCGGTTTTTTCGCCTTCTAATCTTCGCTAGCCTCTGGAAAGGAGAAGATCCTGTGATCCTTGAAGCACATGCAGCTGGTGGAGAAAAAAAAAAGGTACAGTGGTATTTAAAAAGACATTTTATAGAACAATGGGTACACTCTTTCACGTGGGTAAACCTTGCTGTTAACATTACATACTGTCAAGGTTCCTCCCCCACTCTGAACTCTAGGGTACAGATGTGGGGACCTGCATGAAAAACCTCCTAAGCTTATCTTTACCAGCTTAGGTCAAAACTTCCCCAAGGTACAAAATATTACACCCGTTATCCTTGGAATGGCCGCTACCACCACCAAACTAATACTGGTTACTGGGGAAGAGCTGTTTGGACGCGTCCTTCCCCCCAAAATACTTCCCAAAACCTTGCACCCCACTTCCTGGACAAGGTTTGGTAAAAAGCCTCACCAATTTGCCTAGGTGACTACAGACCCAGACCCTTGGATCTTAAGAACAATGAACAATCCTCCCAACACTTGCACCCCCCTTTCCTGGGAAATGTTGGATAAAAAGCCTCACCAATTTGCATAGGTGACCACAGACCCAAACCCTTGGATCTGAGAACAATGAAAAAGCATTCAGTTTCTTACAAGAAGACTTTTAATAAAAATAGAAGTAAATAGAAATGAAGAAATCCCCCCCTGTAAAATCAGGATGGTAGATATCTTACAGGGTAATTAGATTCAAAAACATAGAGAACCCCTCTAGGCAAAACCTTAAGTTACAAAAAAGATGCACAGACAGAAATAGTTATTCTATTCAGCACAATGCTTTTCTCAGCCATTTAAAGGAATCATAATCTAACACATACCTAGCTAGATTACTTACTAAAAGTTCTAAGACTCCATTCCTGTTCTGTCTCTGGCAAGAGCAGCATACAGACAGACCCTTTGTTCCTCTCCCTCCTCCCAGCTTTTGAAAGTATCTTGTCTCCTCATTGGTCATTTTGGTCAGGTGCCAGCGAGGTTACCTTTAGCTTCTTAACCCTTTACAGGTGAGAGGAGCTTTCCCCTGGCCAGGAGGGATTTCAAAGGGGTTTACCCTTCCCTTTATATTTATGACACGCCCCCCAAATCTCAGCTAGGGTGAAACACTGGCTGGGATTTCTTCCTGGAGCTCTAGGAAAAACAGAGTTAATAAGACACATGCATCTCTAAATATACTACCAAGTACATAAAGACTAACAATATTTTCCACATCTCAAGGACGATTTTAACCAGTTGATTCTGGGAAACTTTCACGGGAGAGTGCATCAGCCACTTTGTTAGAGGCTCCTGAGATGTGTTGGACGTCGAAATCAAAATCTTGGAGAGCTAAACTCCACCGAAGAAGTTTTTTGTTAGTTTCCTTGACGGTGTGAAGCCACTTCAGTGCAGCATGGTCGGTTTGCAGGTGGAAACGCCGTCCCCAAACATATGGGCGTAGCTTTTCCAGAGCGTAGACAATGGCGTAACATTCTTTTTCAGTGACTGACCAGTTGCTTTCCCTCTCAGACAGTTTTTTGCTGAGAAACACTACAGGGTGGAATTCTTGATCAGGTCCTTTCTGCATTAAAACTGCTCCCACACCACGCTCGGATGCATCTGTGGTTACTAGGAACGGTTTGTCAAAGTCTGGGGCCCTTAGTACAGGGTCAGACATGAGTGTCGCTTTAAGCTTGTTAAAGGCCTTCTGACACTTTCCGGTCCACTGAACAGCATTTGGCTGTTTCTTTTTGGTTAGGTCTGTCAGTGGGGCAGCGATGTGGCTGTAGTGCGGTACAAATCGTCTGTAATAACCGGCCAAGCCTAAGAAGGATTGAACCTGTTTCTTTGACTTTGGGACAGGCCACTTTTGGATAGCATCCACTTTGGCCTGTAGGGGGCTGATAGTTCCTTGACCCACCTGGTGTCCAAGGTAAGTCAGTCTGTTTAGGCCTATTTGACACTTCTTAGCCTTAACAGTTAGTCCTGCCTCCCTTATGCGCTCAAGGACTTTTTTGTAGATGTTCCAGGTGGTCTGCCCAGGAATCCGAAAATATGGCCACATCGTCAAGGTAGGCGGCTGCATATTCTCCTAATCCCGCTAGGAGACCATCTACAAGTCTTTGGAAAGTGGCGGGTGCATTTCGCAGCCCGAAAGGGAGTACATTAAATTCATACAGCCCGAGATGTGTGATGAAGGCTGACCTTTCCTTGGCAGATTCATCTAGCGGTACCTGCCAGTACCCCTTGGTTAAGTCCAAGGTAGAGATGAACTGGGCCCGTCCCAGTTTCTCTAATAGTTCATCTGTGCATGGCATTGGATAGTTGTCTGGGCGAGTTACAGCATTTAGCTTACGGTAGTCCACGCAAAAACGTATTTCCCCATCTGGTTTGGGAACTAGAACCACTGGAGATGCCCATGCACTTTCAGAGGGGCGGATTACCCCCATCTGTAACATATCCTGGATCTCCCGTTCTATAGCAGTTTTAGCTTGAGGAGACACCCGGTAAGGTTGGACCCTAATTGGGTGAGCATTACCTGTGTCAATGGAGTGGTATGCCCATTCAGTCAGTCCTGGGGTGGCTGAGAACGTTGGCGCGTAGCTAGTGCACAGCTCCTGGATCTGCTGTCGCTGCATACGCCCAAGGGTCATGGAGAGGTTCACCTCTTCCACACCACCAGCACATTTCCCTTCGTAGTAAACACCTTCAGGCCACTCAGCGTCGTCTCCTCCCTGGGCTGTAAACTGACAAACCTTTAATTCTCTGGAATAAAAGGGCTTTAGAGAATTAATATGGTACACCTTAGGCTTTCGGTTGGAGGTGGGGAATGCTATGAGATAATTAACAGCTCCCAGGCGCTCCTGGACCATGAATGGCCCTTCCCACGATGCTTCCATTTTATGGGCCTGGAGCGCCTTTAAGACCATGACCTGGTCTCCTACTTTGAAGGAACGCTCTCTGGCATGCTTATCATACCAGGCTTTTTGCTCTTTTTGAGCATCCTGTAAGTTTTCTCTAGCAAGGGCTAAAGAGGTTCGGAGGGTGTTTTGTAGGTTGGTTACGAAGTCCAGAATGTTAGTTCCTGGAGAAGGTGTAAATCCCTCCCATTGCTGCTTCACCAACTGCAATGGCCCCTTAACCTCACGGCCATATACAAGTTCAAATGGGGAAAACCCTAAACTGGGATGTGGTACAGCTCTGTAGGCAAAGAGCAACTGCTGCAACACTAGGTCCCAATCATTGGAGTGCTCATTTACAAATTTACGTATCATGGCCCCCAAAGTTCCATTAAACTTCTCCACCATGCCATTTGTTTGATGATGGTAAGGAGTGGCAACCAAGTGATTTACCCCATGAGCTTCCCAAAGGTTTTTCATAGTTCCTGCCAGGAAATTAGTCCCTGCATCGGTGAGGATGTCGGAGGGCCAACCTACCCTGGCAAAAATGTCTGCTAGTGCCTGGCACACACTTTTAGCCCTGGTGTTGCTTAGAGCTACTGCTTCCGGCCATCGGGTGGCAAAATCCATGAAAGTCAGTATGTACTGCTTTCCTCTGGGTGTCTTTTTCGGAAAAGGACCCAGAATATCCACAGCTACTCGCTGAAATGGAACTTCAATGATGGGGAGTGGCTGGAGAGGGGCTTTGACCTGGTCTTGGGGTTTTCCCACTCTTTGGCACACCTCACAAGACTGTTCATAGGTAGAAACATCCTTGCCCATTCCCTCCCAGTGGAATGACCCCCCCAAACGGTCTTTGGTCCTGTTCACCCCAGCATGGCCACTAGGGTGATCATGGGCTAAGCTCAAGAGCTTGGCTCGGTATTTAGTTGGAACTACCAACTGTCTCTGAGGATGCCAGTCTTCCTGGTGTCCACCAGAAAGAGTTTCCTTGTATAAAAGTCCTCTTTCTACAACAAACCTGGATCGATTAGAAGAGCTGAGAGGCGGTGGGTTGCTCTCTGGAGGCTCTCTGGAGGCTCTCTGGAGGCTCTCTGGAGGCTTTCATCTGCTTCCTGTTCGGTCTGGAACTGTTCCCTTGATGCTGGAGACATCAGTTCCTCATGGGATTGTGGGCCTAGGCTTGGTCCCTCTGGAAGCGATATAGGGGATGGAGCTGTTTCTGTTGACTGTGAACCGCTCTCCGCTGGTGCACTATGTTGGGATTCAGGCTCCGGCTGAGCCTCTTGGGTCGGGTTATCGGCTGCTGCCAGTTCAGGTTCGGTGGGGCCCTCTGTTGTTGAGGTTGCAAGTACTGGATTCAGTGCTGACACGGGGTCTGGTGTTGGTTGTTCGGCTGGTTCCGGTTCTGGGACTGGTTCCGTCTGGGTCTCTGGGACTGGATCCACTACTGCTGTTGCAGACATTGGCCTGGGGTCCAGGTCCATCACCTCTGACTGGGTCCTGATAGAAGTTTCTGGAACAGAGCTAGGCCTCACGGCTTGTTTAGCCTGGCTGCGGGTGACCATTCCCACCCTCTTGGCCTGCTTCACATGATTGGTCAAGTCTTCCCCCAACAGCATGGGGATGGGATAATCATCATAGACTGCAAAAGTCCACATTCCTGACCAGCCCTTGTACTGGACAGGCAACTTGGCTGTAGGCAAATTGAAAGAGTTGGACTTGAAGGGTTGAATCATCACTTGGATCTCTGGGTTGATTAAATTGGGGTCCACTAAGGAAGCATGGATAGCTGACACTTGTGCTCCGGTGTCCCTCCACGCGGTGACCTTCTTCCCGCCCACACTCACAGTTTCCCTCCGCTCCAAGGGTATCTGGGAGGTATCTGGGCCTGTGGACCTCTGGTGTGATTCCGGTGCAATGAACTGTAATCTGTTGGGGTTCTTGGGGCAGTTGGCCTTTACATGCCCCAGCTCGTTACACTTAAAACATCATCCAGCTGACGGGTCACTGGGGCGAGGAGGGTTGCTGGAGAACGGGGTGGTGGGACGATAAGGGGTCTGGAGGGTTCTTTGGGAGGTAGGTGGGGCTTTGGGCGGCCCCCGGTAATAGGGTGTGGTCTGGGGTGGTCCCTTCTGGTCTCCACTCCAACTGCGACCAGTTTTCTTCTTCTCTGCCACCTCCACCCATCTGGCTCCAATCTCTCCTGCCTCGATTACAGTTTTGGGCTTCCCGTCTAGGATGTATCTTTCTATTTCCTCAGGAACACCCTCTAAGAATTGTTCCATTTGCATTAGGAAGGGCAAATTTACTGGAGATTCAACACTTGCTCCTGATATCCAGGCATCCCAATGTTTCACAATGTGGTAGGCATGTCGGGTAAATGACATGTCTGGTTTCCACCTTAGGGCTCTGAACCTCCGACGAGACTGCTCGGGTGTTATCCCCATTCTGACTCTCGCCTTGGATTTAAACAGTTCATACTTGTTCATGTGTTCTTTAGGCATTTCAGCTGCCACCTCAGCTAAGGGTCCACTGAGCTGCGGCCTCAGCTCTACCATGTATTGGTCAGTAGAGATGTTGTACCCAAGGCAGGCCCTTTCGAAGTTTTCTAGGAAGGCCTCAGTATCATCACCTGCCTTGTAGGTGGGGAACTTTCTGGGATGGGAAGTGGTACCTGGAGAAGGATTGCTAGGGTTTGTTGGTATATTCTGCTGGGCCTTTATCCTCTCCACCTCCTCCACATGCTTCCTCTCTTTTTCCTTCTCCTCCTCCACATGCTTCCTCTCTTTTCCTTCTCCTCCTCCACATGCTTCCTTGCCTCCATTTCCCTCTTGTGGGCAGCCTCCTGTACCTCCTTCTCCAGCCGCATGAGTTCTATCTGTCTTTCATGTTCCCTTTGTCTTTCCTCAGCCTGAAATTTGGCTAATTCCAGCTGTAGTTGAGCTGAGGATTTGGTCATTCTAACCTCTCTGTTTTTAACTAACTTTACACCTGAGGTTTAGAAATAAACAAACAAAACTTGGCTGTAAAATTTTGCTGTGCTGCAATAGAATACCTATTCTCTGATAGTGATTGTCAGCCTACAGAAAAAGACAATTCCCTTGTCTCTGCTCTGGGCCCAAATTAAAGCAAAAAACCTCCAACTGCTTGGAAACCTGCTTACCCAGCCCAAAGAAAAAGCAAATGGGTAGAACACACACCCCCTATTTACTTTTAGGAAGAAAAGAAAAAAAAAACCTCTGGGATGGAAGACTGTGAATTTCCCTGCAGGAGTTAAGTACCCTGCCTCCAGGCAAAGAAAACCTGCAATTCACAAGATAATCCCCTTTTGTCTCTGCTTGGCCACAAAGCAGAGAGAAACCAAGCTGCTTTCAGTTTCAAAGCTGCTTTCTGGACTTTCTTTCCAAAGAAAAAAAAATTTCCTTTTTAAAATCTGTATTTCTAGTTCAAAAAATCTCAACTGGATCTCAAATGATTTCAGGTTAATCCCACCACTGTGCCACCATGTCAAGGTTCCTCCCCCACTCTGAACTCTAGGGTACAGATGTGGGGACCTGCATGAAAAACCTCCTAAGCTTATCTTTACCAGCTTAGGTCAAAACTTCCCCAAGGTACAAAATATTACACCCGTTATCCTTGGAATGGCCGCTACCACCACCAAACTAATACTGGTTACTGGGGAAGAGCTGTTTGGACGCGTCCTTCCCCCCAAAATACTTCCCAAAACCTTGCACCCCACTTCCTGGACAAGGTTTGGTAAAAAGCCTCACCAATTTGCCTAGGTGACTACAGACCCAGACCCTTGGATCTTAAGAACAATGAACAATCCTCCCAACACTTGCACCCCCCCCTTTCCTGGGAAATGTTGGATAAAAAGCCTCACCAATTTGCATAGGTGACCACAGACCCAAACCCTTGGATCTGAGAACAATGAAAAAGCATTCAGTTTCTTACAAGAAGACTTTTAATAAAAATAGAAGTAAATAGAAATGAAGAAATCCCCCCTGTAAAATCAGGATGGTAGATATCTTACAGGGTAATTAGATTCAAAAACATAGAGAACCCCTCTAGGCAAAACCTTAAGTTACAAAAAAGATGCACAGACAGAAATAGTTATTCTATTCAGCACAATGCTTTTCTCAGCCATTTAAAGGAATCATAATCTAACACATACCTAGCTAGATTACTTACTAAAAGTTCTAAGACTCCATTCCTGTTCTGTCTCTGGCAAGAGCAGCATACAGACAGACCCTTTGTTCCTCTCCCTCCTCCCAGCTTTTGAAAGTATCTTGTCTCCTCATTGGTCATTTTGGTCAGGTGCCAGCGAGGTTACCTTTAGCTTCTTAACCCTTTACAGGTGAGAGGAGCTTTCCCCTGGCCAGGAGGGATTTCAAAGGGGTTTACCCTTCCCTTTATATTTATGACACATACATAGCACATTACATACATAGCACATCCAAGGACACATTTTGCCTCCCCCCCCCACCGCGTGGCGAGCCTCTCACCCCTCCTCTGTCCCCGTGGCTAACAGCGGGGAACATTTCTGTTCAGCCACAGGCAAACAGCCCAGCAGGAATGGGCACCTCTGAATGTCCCCTTAAGAAAAGCACCCTATTTCAACCAGGTGACCATGAATGATATCACTCTCCTGGGGATAACACAGAGAGATAAAGAACGGATGTTGTTTGAATGCCAGCAAACATGCACTGCAATGCTTTGTTCTTCAGTGATTCCCGAGCATGTGCTACTGGCCTGGAGTGGTAAAGTGTCCTACCATGGTGGACGGAATAAGGCTTGCTTTTAAACCATGTATAGTATTTTAAAAGGTACACTCACCAGAGGTCCCTTCCCCACCTGGCGGGTCCTTGGGTGAGTTTGGGGGGTACTGGCTCCAGGTCCAGGGTGAGAAACAGTTCCTGGCTGTCGGGAAAACCGGTTTCTCCGCTTGCTTGCTGTGAGCTATCTACAACCTCCTCCTCATCATCATCTTCTTTGTCCCCAAAACCTGCTTCCATGTTGCCTCCATCTCCATTGAAGGAGTCAAACAACACGGCTGGGGTAGTGGCGGCTGAACCCCCTAAAATGGCATGCAGCTCATCATAGAAGCGGCATGTTTGGGGCTCTGACCCGGAGCGGCCGTTCTCCTCTCTGGTTTTCTGGTAGGCTTGCCTCAGCTCCTTAAGTTTCACGCGGCACTGCTTCGGGTCCCTGTTATGACCTCTGTCCTTCATGCCCTGGGAGATTTTGAGAAATGTTTTGGAATTTCGAAAACTGGAACGTAGTTCTGATAGCACGGATTCCTCTCCCCATACAGCAATCGGATCCCGTACCTCCCGTTCGGTCCATGCTGGAGCTCTTTTGCGATTCTGGGACTGCATCATGGTCACCGCTGCTGATGAGCTCTGCATGGTCACCACTGCTGATGAGCTCTGCATGGTCACCTGCAGCTCGCCACACTGGCCAAACAGGAAATTGAAATTCAAAAGTTCGCAGGCCTTTTCCTGTCTACCTGGCCAGTGCATCTGAGTTGAGAGTGCTGTCCAGAGCGGTCACAATGGAGCACTCTGGGATAGCTCCCGGAGGCCAATACCATCTAATTGCATCCACAGTACCCCAAATTTGATTCGGCAAGGCCGATTTCAGCGCTAATCCCCTTGTCGGGTATGGAGTAAGGAAATCGATTTTAAGAGCCCTTGAAGTCGAAAAAAGGGCTTAGTCGTGTGGACAGGTGCACGGTTAAATCAATTTAATGCTGCTAAATTCGACCTCAACTCCTAGTGTAGACCAGGGCTTACACTGGTACACCTGGTAACTCAGAATGCCATTGAACATGGTGTAACTGGGGGCAATCTTTACATACAGATCAGTTGTTCTTGAATAAATGCTTCTGTGTATTTGACATATGAAGGGTTTTTTTTGTCACATTTCAACCTGAAAATATGTTTATTGTGGCCTGTGGGTGGGAAATCCCAATCTCCATTCAAAGTTAATCTTTGTTTATTAATAAATGTAAACACAAAAGTAGAAAGATCAAGAATATAAATCAAGCCTACCTATTATCCAGAATTTTGTGTCCAACCAACCATGCATTCTCCTTCTCCCCATGTATCCAGGCTGTTGCTAAGTTTTGCTGGTTGTTTTCTCTACAGCATCTCAAAACACTGACTCTTACTTTTTTGCCCATTCTTTGGTTGTCACCAGTTTTCACTACTTCAGCCTCTTTTCCTCTGGCTTCCCAACTTCTGTCTCACTCCCACTTCACTCAGTCCAAAAAGTTGCAGTTTTAAAATCTTCTATCTCACCCATCAGTTAGACTTATCTCTCCACTGGATAGTGCATTATGTCTTATGCAGCCTGGGGCACATTGTCCAACTGCAGAAAGCTCCAGGAATTCTGGAAGAGCTTATACTTGAGAGATTTCCCATGATCAGATGAGCATGTGAACTTCTAACAGTTTATCTGAACTTCAGTTGTTGCTGTTTACCCATTACTATGAGATAGAAATGTTTCCAGACCTAATTTGTCACATTCTTCATTTAAATTTCAGATTCTAGTGTCTTGAGCACTGGGGCTGGCCAGAATGGTAGCCCCACCACTTCTCTGCATACCACTGAGATCCAAGAAGCATTATGTCACCCTGAATCCTAGACAATGGCCATGTCTACACTACAATCTTAAGTCAACCTATGTCCACGCTACCTTCAGTCAGTGGTGTGTGTCCTCACCAGGAATGCTTCCACAGACTGAAGAGGGGCAGTATTGGGGACTGAGAGTCAGGGCTCCCCACTGACTAGGAATCAGTGTGCAGCCACACTGTTCCAATGGGAGCACCCAAAGGCTTTCAGGTACAATATCTCCTGGTCATCAAAGGGCATTAAACATTATCTGTGGGATTTTCTAAAGTGCTTTGCCCAGACACAATTCGGCTTCTATTGACCCCAATAGGAGTTTTTCCACTGACTTCAACAAAGCAAAGTTAGGCTTCTGAAAATCCCACACTACCAGTTTAGTGGAGTCTTACAGAGTGATTGGGGGAAAAAGGGTTGCAATTTGTCACTGTAATGTTTTTTTAATTTAGTATTTCCACTTATTAGTTTATTTTGAATGCTTACTTTAGGGCTAGTTTAATGTGCTCCTTGACATTTCCTTTACTTGACGTATGGATCACAGCTCCTTTTCGGTTTCCAAACCAGTTACTGACAATTGATGGAAAGAGTCTTTACGTTGAGTTCTCTGTAAACAGGCACAAGAAATTAGTATATGTACTAATTATTCAGTACTTAGGAAATACTTTGTTCTTAATGTTTATGATGTACAGATTTATTGCTGCATTGGGGCAGGGATTGTAATTTACTAAATGTTTGTACAGAACACAGCACGATGCCACCCCACCCTTGTGGGTCTTGGGGCACATCCACGATATAAGTGGTAAATAAAATATTAATAAAGTACTAGAAAGAAAGTCAGCCTTCCTCCTCCTCCTCCTCCACCACCTCTTCATTTCAGCTATAGTTTATGGTATGTAATTTCCCAGTCTTTCTTGTGAATCTACTGTTGTGCATACAAATAAACAAAATACAGCTCTGAAGCCAAAATTCAGTCCTTAACCTTAGTGTGCTTAGGTATTATAGAACACCTGGTATACATCTATACCTTGTAAGAAAGATAGGATATAAAACAAATTTTAATTAAACAAACTGCTTCACTGATTACCCATTCCACATTTCTTTGAGTTCCTTGAATTTTGATTGATTAAAGAAATAGAATTTGAGTTGAATTTAATTTATATAGAATTTTACTATCCTTGTCAACTGCAACTAATAATATAGAATGTAAGAAGGCAAAAATAGTATTGGGCTATGATTTTGCTAAGATAAACTGGAAAATTGGTCCGTACAGTAACTATCCAGGTTTCAGGATCAAGTCAAACAACCACAATAGAAAATAACACTTAGTCACTATTCTGGGAAGGTGACTTTGTTTAGATTTTGAGTAAGAGTGGGGCCTCACTTGTGCCAATTGGTTATCAACTCCAGTGTTGCTAACACCACAGAGTAAAAACAATTCCAAAATCATAAAAAATCTGGTCAATTATTTGCATACCAATGCACCTAGGTCTCCTTCCCAAACCATGCACAGTAGTCAGTACTTTTATCGTACTTCCCAGCTATTATATTAGTCCCAAAAGCTGATTAGCATTCCTAACTATCTAACATGAATGCATACATTTCTAACAAACTGTAGAGACTGAGTGCAGTTCAAGAGGGTTGCATACTTGACCTTGTTTTATGTCTGCATACACCTAGAACTTGAAAGGCAGTATTAAACAATTAACTCTGGTAGACACATGTACAATGCTGACTTGCTCAGTTTCAAAGCTACTTAACAACAGTCTTGATGGGAACCTGTAACAAAACAAGGACACACCATATAACTATGTGGCAATCTTTAAAGCACACACACAAACTTGTACACATCCTTACTGATTAGGTACCCAGTTTCAGGAAGTAGTCAACTTACAGATTTGGGTCATCTCCCAAGAGAAACTCTGTGTGTTACTTATCACCAGATCTTTGTTCAGCTGTCAGTTTCCCACTCAGTTATTGTTCACAGCAGGAGTTGACACTGCAAACACAGGTGGAGCAAAGGATGGACATGACTAATCTTCTTCCGGTGAGCTACCAGGCAACCTGAACTACTGGAAAATATAAAGAGAGAATTAAAGGTGCCTATCTCAGATAGTTACTTGGTATCTCCAGAAGGACTCACAGGTGGCTGGCCTAGGACTTTGGTCTTCTCCCTTCCAGTAGAAGACCTATTGGAAGCAATGTGCTGAAGAAGAAAACCCATTTTATCTCATTTCTGCTGGGTGGATCGTTGACCCACACTTCTTTCAAAGATTCAAAATGTCCAACCAAAGTGAACGTTGCCCTCTGTCACCATCTAATCAAGGAATGAGGCTTCACCAGTCAGTTCTTGCAACTAGGGTTGTAATTTTCCAATGTCTTTGTGCAACACATCATGTCATACTAGCTTGCTTAAGACAACTTAGGCCATACCTGTTGGTACAGCCATCTTAGGACATATATTGAACACCAGCTGGTTTACGCCATTCAGCAACTAACTGCTGTAAGTTGATTTCTGTGGGACCCGCTGTAGCCAATTTTGCAAACTATGTTTACTCAAATTGCAGTTTCTTCACAACACAATACGGGCTGCTGAAATGCCCGTTTAAAAGTTTATATAGTTTATATAACATGCCTCCATGTCCTTTGATGCTTTTTAAACTTGTTTTTACAGTTCATTATACAATGCAAAGTCACCTCAAGAACTGTTGTTCTTCAGCACGCTGGAACAGCTGTATAAATCTTCCTTGTTATGTATGGCTGAACTGTGTCTGTGAATTATTGGCCAAACAGTTAAAGTTCTGATTAGTCCACCCTGTGAACAACTCTCCTTATAGTACAATATTTGGTTTGAGTTCCTCTTATTTATTGCCTCTCTCAGCAAAACTGTGTTTCACAAACTTAATAGCATAAATATGCATACTTGATCGCAAATATTAACCTTATGTTTTTATTTTTGTCACTAAAGTAAAAGAAATCACCATGAACAAAATCCCTTTCTTTCTCTAACAGAATTGCCATTGGGGTAAACTCAAAGTTTACTGCTTTGGGCAAACTACTGTTTACAATAGTTTGCCCAAAGCAGTATCACTTATAGTCGATGTCCCTTTGAACATATAATTTCATTTAATCATGATATTTGAGGCAAACTGGATTCTCACTACGATATCTAACAACAGAATATATCATCGTAATATCTACTTTTTTAAAATCGTTCATTCACAGATGGGGATTTTCAGATTCCCTTGTTGGTGTTGGATAAGTCTTACCCTTATTAACGGAACATAGAGTACATCTAAATGCTCCCTTTTTGAATTATTAAAAATAATAAGAAATATGTATTTTTCTGAGATTTTTGGATCGGAATCTCTTTCAGATATACCTGACATCATGAATTGGGGCTCTTAGACATTTACTGGCAAATCCTGCCCCTACTTCTTGGATTTTCAGGGGTTCCTTGTGTGCTGTTCCATATGAAAACTCATATGAAAACACTTTGAAAACTTGTGGCGAACAGGGGAAGTTCCAGATGACTGGAAAAAGGCTAATGAAGTGCCAATCTTTAAAAAAGGGAACAAGGAGGATCCTGGGAACTACAGGCCAGTCAGCCTCACCTCAGTCCCTGGAAAAATCATGGAGCAGGTCCTCAAGGAATCAATTCTGAAGCACTTAGCCAAGAGGAAAGTGATCAGGAACAGTCAGCATGGATTCACCAAGGGAAGGTCATGCCTGACTAATCTAATCGCCTTCTATGATGAGATTACTGGTTCTGTGGATGAAGGGAAAGCAGTGGATGTATTGTTTCTTGACTTTAGCAAAGCTTTTGACACAGTCTCCCACAGTATTCTTGTCAGCAAGTTAAAGAAGTATGGGCTGGATGAATGCACTATAAGGTGGGTAGAAAGTTGGCTAGATTGTCGGGCTCAATGGGTAGTGATCAATGGCTCCATGTCTAGTTGGCAGCCGGTGTCAAGTGGAGTGCCC